TATCCACTCATCTGATGATGGACATTTGGGCTGGTTCCAACTCTTGGCTATTGTAAAGAGTGCTGCGATGAACATTGGGGAACAGGTATACCTTCGACTTGATGATTTCCATTCCTCTGGGTATATTCCCAGCAGTGGGATAGCTGGGTCATATGGCAGATCTATCTGCAATTGTTTGAGGAACCTCCATACCATTTTCCATAGAGGCTGCACCATTTTGCAGTCCCACCAACAATGGAAAACTCTTTTATTGTGAAATATTTCAGACATAGAGCTTAATGAATTATTCAAAACAAGCACTGATGAAACCACCCCACCCAGGTTAAGTAATAGTAACCCATTCATTTTCACCTGTGACTTCTAAGCCTTTATATCCCATAAAAATAACCAAAACCTTCATTGTTATTGTAGGAATCTCTTCTTCTTCCTTTTTTCCCCTGGTTTGTTTCATTCATTTATTTAATTGGCAAATAAAAATTGTATATACTTATTGTGTAAAACAAGTTGTTCTGAAATATGTATACATTGTGGAATGGCTAATTCAAGCTAATTAACATATGTATTAGCTCAAATATTTTGTTTTTTTGTGTGATGAGAACACAAAATCTATTCTCTCAGCAATTTTCAGGAACACAATACATTGTTATTAAGTATAGTCACCATATTGTACAATAGATCTTCTGAACTTATTCTTCCTATCTAACTAAATTTTGTATCTTTTGACCAACATCTTCCCATCCCCCGCACCCAGTAACTACAATTCTACTCTTTACTTCTATGAGATCAACTTTTTAAAATTCCACATATTAGTGAGACTGTGTGAATTTGTATTTCTCTGCCTGGCTTATTTCACTTAACATAATGTCCTCCAGGTTAATCCACATTGTTATAAATGTCAGGAGTTTCTTCTTTTTAAAGACTGAATAGTATTCCATTGTTGTGTATGCCACATTTTCTTTATCCATCCTTTTTTTTGACAGACCCTGAGATTGTTTCTACTTTTTGGTATTGTGTGTAATGCTGTGATGAACATGGATTGAAGATATCTCATCAACATACTGATTTTATTTCCTTTGGATATATTCATAGGAGTAGGATTGCTGGATTATATAGCAATGCTTTTAGTTTTTAACTTTTTGAGGAAACTCCATAGTGTTTTCCATAATGGCTGTACTAGTTCATGCTCCCACCAACAGTGTACAGGGTTCCCTCTTCTCCATATCCTCCAACACTTGCTATCTTTCGTCTTTTTCATAATAGCCATTCTAAGAGGTGTGAGGCATCTCATTGTGGTTTTAAATCACATTTCCCTGATAATTCATGATGTTGAGCATTTTTTCACATACACATTGGCTATTTGTATGTCTTCTTCTGAAAAATGTCTATTCGGATTCTTTGCCCATTTTAAAAATCAGGTTATTTGCTTTCTTGCTATTGAGTTGAGTTCATTATATATTTTGGATATTGACCCCTTACCAGATGTATGGTTTGCAAATATCTTCTCCCATTCCGTAGGTTGTCTCTTCACTCTGTTGATTCTTTCCTTGGCTGCACAGAAGTTTTTGAGTTTAACGTAAACCCATTTGTTTATTTTTGCATTTGTTGCCTTTGCTTTTAGGTTAATATGCAAAAAAAAAAAAAAATCATTGCTCAGACTGTTCCTATGGAGCTTTCCCCCTGTGTTTTCTTTCAGTAGCTTTACAGTTTCAAGACTTATATTTAAGTCCTTAGTCTATCTTTAGTTAATTTCATTCTTCTGAATGTTGATATCCCGTTTCCCAACAGTGTTTATGGAAGAGACTGTTCTGTCCCTGTTGAGTGTTCTTGGCATCTTTGTTGAAGACCAACAACTGACTGTAAATGTGTGGAGTTACTTCTGGGACTCTCTATTCTGTTTCATTGGTTTATGTGTCTATTTTTGTGCAGTAGTTGTTCTTGGCATCTTTGTTGAAGACCAACAACTGACTGTAAATGTGTGGAGTTACTTCTGGGGCTCTCTATTCTGTTTCATTGGTTTATGTGTCTATTTTTGTGCAGTAGTATGCTCTTTTGGTCACTATAGCTTTGTAGTATGTTTTGAAGTCAGGTAGTGTGATGCCTCCACCTTTGTTATTTGTGCTCAAGATTTCTTTGGCTATTTGTGGCCTTTTGTGGTTCCATACAAATTTTGGGATTTTTTCTATTTCCATGAAAAATGTCATTAGAATTTTTATAGGAATTGTATTGAATCTGTCAGTCACTTTGGGTAATATGAACATTTTAACCATATTACTTTTTCTGATCCATGCACATGGCATATCTTTTTGTTTATTTGTGTCTTCTTCAATTACTTTCATCAGTGTTTTATAGTTTTCAATGGATGTGTTTTTACCTCATGGTTAAATTTATTTCTAAGTATTTTCTTACCATACTATTGTAAATGTTTTTTACCCCCTTGATTTCCTCTTTGGATAGGTAGTTATCATTGAATAGAAATACTACCATTTTAAATGTTGATTTTGTGTCCTAAAACCTTACTGAATTTGTTTTTCAGTCCAACAGTTTTTTGGTATAGTGTAGGGTTTTGTGTATATAAGATCATGTTATCTGAAAACAGGAGCAATTTAACTTATTTATTTCTAATTTGGATGCCTTTAATTTCTTTCTCTTATCTAATGCTCTGGCTAGGACTTCCAGTAATATGATAAATAGAAATGATGAGTTACTTTTTTATTCTGTTGTATTTGAATAGCTATTTGCTCAAGAACAATATAAGGGAGGACCAGACAACAACCACTGCACAGTTGAGAATGTGTCTCAAACCCACATTCCGATTAAAGCTTTTGTGTCCAGGTCCTCCAGGATAGGTCAGTGTTTAGTGTCCTTCCTTCAAGTAGAGCAAGTTGCTAGGAAAGCTCAGAGTAAATGAGGTTTTCTGGTCGTAGCTTCTCTTTGGGGTGATTTAGGCACCACATCAAATAGAATTCTGATGCAATAAGTACTCAAAAACATTTGCTGAATAAATGCATAAGTAAATATTCAACTTCTTACTGCATGTATCCATCCGCACATGTCACAGGCACATCACAATCACTATGACCAACAGTGACGTGGTTAGGTTTCCACAAATATGGTTCTCCTCATTTGCTCTACCACTATCTTTTAAATCTATTTTCCAATCTCCTTTACTACTATGTAATCACTAATATTATTTTCCATTGCCTAGAAGATAAACTTCCAACTCTTCAGCCTGACACAGAATGGGAACTTCTAGGATATTTTGCTCAGCCTAGCAATGTGGAAACAAAGATAAAAAAAATCATAATTACTAAAATCCTTGTTATGCCTATGCTTTATGTTTAGGAAGGAGAGGTAAGGGACAGAAAAATAGTTTCTGTCTCTGGTACTGTGCCATGTAGGTAGAGAGGTGCTTATTGAATTTAGCACTCAGAAGTGGAACTACTCTTGAAGGAGAGAAACCCTCACTGATTCTTCTTTGCATTTTGGTACTATATCCTAGTGGAGACAGTGAAAGAGCAGTGTTACATGCTTAGTGTTAGGAAAAATACCTTAAAACTTTGCATGGATAATATGTAAAAATAAATTGAGAATTATGCTCAAAATATGACTTTAGAGATATAATGTATATGAACAGCACGAATATAAAATTGCCTTATTAGGTGATGCAAGAGCTTGTGAGAACCTCTGTGTATTTTGGTGAAACTACTTAGCATTTTCTGGCACAAGAGGTTTATAGTAACAGATATCACAAAAGGAACAGTGTGGAGGGTCAGTAGGTATCAGTAACTCAGAGGAAACTGGTATTGAAGACATAGATCATATGGATTGTGAGATCAACAAATATGATTTGGCACATTTCTAACAAAGTTAAAACAGCTAAATTTACCTGGAAATATAAATGCAATGAAAATTTTAAGATCCTCTAATTTATCCTCGGTCTTGACCTTGACCTTCAGAGTGTAAAAATTGCCAAACTTGTTCTTAAGGTGCTGAGGGCTGCCAAGGCACATGAGCTTCCCCTGTGCCATGATGGCCAGCTTGGTGCAGAGGGCATCACATTCCTCCATACTTGCAAAAAAAAAAGAGCAGAATGACTCAAGGTTAAAAAGTTCTCCTTCAGAGGACATTGTATAGTTCAGTCAGAGTCAGGATTTTGTGATTTTATTTTCAGTCAGATGTTGCATTTGCCAATCATAAAGCTCATAGTTGGGAAATAGAAAATCACTCTTGATTTCATAACTCCATGAGGACTCTTGGTTATTCCATACATTAAGATTAACATGAATCCTAATTCCTAATGAGCTCACATACTTTGGAAAGTTCATTGTCCAATATTTCTGGCCCCAGATAACTTCCTCTTACAGCCCCTACAGCTCCTGCCAACCCTCACCCAAGCCTTCCAACAAGCCATACCTGTGGGAAGATATAATGATGGCTTTTCCACTGTCACGTGTCTGCGTCACTGTGTTCCAGAGCAGGCGGCGGGCTTCTGGGTCCATGCCAGTTGATGGCTCATCCAGGAAGATAACTGAGGGCTTTCCCATTAGGGCAATAACAGTGCTTAGCCTTCGTTTGTTTCCTCCACTTCATGGCCAAGGAGAAACAAAAGAAGGAGAAACAAAGTGGGAGAAGAGGAGGCTTTACTTAATAGTTACTCATGAGACAGAAATATCCCAAATGCTCAGAGTCCCAGCAAACACTTAAGATGGACACACACAATGCCGATTAGTTGTGTCTTTGACAAAGTAGCAAGTCCGAGTACAGGTGTCCATATCAACTCATTTTAATTTGAGATGGAAAGGAGCAGCTTTTATGTAACTGGTTTTGGCAGCATTATCAGCAGCATATACTTACTCATTCTAAGGGTGTCATGGTTTCCCAGGGACATAAAGCCCACTACAATTAAAAGGGCCTACATTCCTTTTTACTTGGGGGACAAAGTACCAGAGGGACACTAGGAAAATGAAGATGATCCCTTTCGAGGTAAAGAGGCAACAGTTCAAATAGAACTCGGATTTGAGTTTCATCTGTGCAAAGGGAAGATGTAGAACTACACTGATGTGCCCTATTACTCCTGGCACCTGAAACCTAGCAGGACATTAGATAGTTTCACAGTTAGACAAATGCGTGACAGAGGGGCTTAGGTGGACCTGTGGGTATTCATTTCAAACCTCAGGAACATAGGGAATCACCTCAACATTAGCAGCATCAACAAAAAAGAGCAGCAGTATTGTGACTCACCTGTAGGTGCTGATAAGCCTGTCAGCATGAGACTCCAGTTCCAGTGAGTTCAAACATTTGTTCACATACAGCTCAATCTGGGGCTCAGAGACTCCCCATAATCTGGCATACATGATCATTATTTCCCGAGCAGTCATGTATTCCAGCAAGGCATCAAATTGAGGACAGTATCCAATTCTCGACTTTACCTAATTATGAGAGTTGCCTTAAGTAAAGACCCATATCATCTATTCCACTGAACAACTGTAGATGAGATGAAAGATCTGCAGTCCTCCAGACCATGCTTCTAAGAGTCTTACCAAGAACTTTTCTAGAGGGCTACAAAATTATGGCTGTTGGACCTATTATAATACATTGGGATAATAGGTTCCCTAATTCAGTTGTAATGATGTTGGGGATAATGATGTTGGGGCTGAAGAAGTTAGAAATAAAATTTCAGAGCCCACTCAATTTGGAGAATATTAGAATATGAGATGCTCCCTTCATTAATCAGAAACTGCAAGGGATGTGGCCACCATGGATATTTTTGCAGTGTTCAATCTGAACAGCCATGTCCCACAGTAAGGCTTAACCAGAAGCAAAGCCTTTCTCTACCTCCACAAGCAGGAGACTGCTATGAATGGTGTTGTAGCAGTTTGCCAAACCCTTCTTTTCATTTGCTTTAAGGCACACATAGCCTAGGTAGCCAGAGAAAAAACTATGAACTTAAATTAACAATTGATTTACATTGATTCCATACTATTCATTCCCCTAGACTCTTGGCGTGGCAGTCTCCTGCAGCCCCCGTTCTGGCTGACGTGACTTCCAGGGGATTTAAAGGGCTAGCATCCTTCCCACACCCCCTTTAATTTTTCTAACTTTTTTTCCTACTTGGAATCTATGCACTAATGATTAGGGCATTAGAAAATAGCTACATACACAAAGGAAACTAGAAAGTGACTGCACATGCTCAGGCAGAGGCATGGGCTCAGAAAGGATGTCAAAGACCTTAAGTTTACAACTTCAGGCTGATCTTAAGCACACAGACAGCCTACACAATACAAAAATAAAAGCAACAAACAAAAAGTAACCAAAAACAAGCAAACTTAAGAGAATGACTAGAATGTAATTTCCAGAGTTACCATATTTTTAGAGTCAAATTTCCAGTTTTTAAGAAAAACTCACAAGCACACAACACAAAGAAACAAAAACATATGGCCCATGCAAAAGAAACTCATAAATAAACCGAAACTCTTCTGAAAAAGACAAATGGCAGCTCTGTTAAACAAAGGCTTTAAAACAACTGTCTCAAAGATGCTTAAAGAACTAAAGTAAGATGTGAAGAGAGTCAAGAAAATGATGTACAAATGAAGTGGAAATATCAATACAGAGATAGGAACTCCCCCCCCCCCAAAAAAAAAACCCAAAAAGAAATTCTGGAGCTGAAAAGTATAATAAATGAAATTAAAAATTCACTAGAGAGGTTGAAATGCAGACTTGAAAAGGCAGAAGTAAGAATAAGTAAACTTGAATATAGAACAATGGAAATTATTGAGTCTGAAAAACAGAAATAAAAAAGATTGCAGAAAAATGAATAGAGCCTAAGGGGCTTGTAGTATACCATAAAATGGAGCAAAGTACACATTGTGGTTGTTCAAGGAGAAGAAGAGAGAAATGAGCAGAGAGAATATTTCAAAAAACAGTGGCTAAAAACTCCCAAGTTTGATGAATATAAACATACAAGAAGCTTAATGAACTCAAAAGTAAGAACACAAAAAGACCTACACCAAGACATGTTATAATCAAATTGTCAAAAGCCAAAGACAAAGGATCTTGAGGAGGTGGTGGGAAGATGGCAGGCTAGAGGTGCATGGAGCACATTCCTCCCACAGAAAGGGACCAGAGCAACCAACAGACAGATAAAAACTGACAGGAGCATCTCTTGGGGAGTGTGGGAGTACAACAGGAGACTGATGAGGTCGCTATGGAGAACAAAAACCCAGAAGTATATCATAGAGAAGAAGGAGAAGCACATGGCTGCAGCCGCCACCTCTCCAATACTGGGATCAGTGCAGGAAGAGTTTCCTTGGCAACAAAAATGTAGGTGGACCCAAAAAGGAGGACCCACACCAACCTCCATCTTCACCACATAGTCCCACAAATACTTTGGCAGGTCAAGTCTGGACCCAAGTGTGGACAGCACACTACTAAAGTAGCACCCAAGATCTTTTGCACAGATGGTGCACTCCCCACCCCCTACACTTAGGATCCAAGCCAATACAGATCAGTGCCAGCTTGAGACCAGAGCTGTTATGGGAGCACACCCTGCCCAGGTGCCAGTAGCCACAGTGCTTCCCAGCCTTAAGGCTCCACCCTCCACCTAGTGTACTCACAGGAGAGTATACAACTCCCTGATCCCAGCAGCTGGAAGCCTGGGCTCTGTTCTGCAGCTTGGGAAGCCAACTCTAGTCCTGCTGAACTGTTGCACCCCTATGTCCCACCCAGACCAGGCACCACCAGCTCCACCTCACCCAGATCCAGGTGTTTCTATGTTTTAGCAGGAAGGAGGAAAGAGGGAAAAGCAGGGAGAAAACTCTGGGCTGGGTGTTGGTGGGAAATGGGACCATCTTCTCCACAGGGAAAAGGGTAGCAGAGGTAGTGCTCTGGTATCAGGGGATGGTCATGATGATGGCTGTGAGGTTGTGCTTTTCTTTGTGGTTCAGATGCTGGACTGTGATGGGCAGGGTTGCTGAGCTGCTTCCAGGGAGTGGATGGGACTACTGTGTGAGCCCTCAATGGAACACCCCATTCCTCCACTTGTGGGCAGTGGGCAGTACCACTGCATGCATGAGTGATGGGGTGCTTGCTCTAGCCACCTGTGGGTGCTGGGCAGGGCCACATAGACTGGCACATGTCAGGGCATCTAGTCTGGCTGCCTGTGGGGGCTGTGCAGGGCTGCCTGAGCCAGTGTGCTTTGGGGCATCTGGTCTAGGCACTTGTGGGGTGGTGAAGGAGCTGGTTCGTTTACTTCTGAGTCTGTTGGCAAAGTTGCTGAGTGGGACCATTCAGGGTGGAGTCAACAGTCCACCTCTCTGAAAGGGGTCAATGTACCTTATTTCCCCTGGCCCAAGGGCATATTTGTCATGGTAGAGGCTCATGAACTGTCTTTCCAACTTAGGGGCTCAGGTGTATACAACTCAGTCCACTGGTGGAGTTGGGGATTGGGTGTTTACAAGAAACTCACCTTACCCATAAAGACTCACACAGACTAATACTGAAGGGATGGAAAAAGATATATCATGGAATTAGAAACCAAAAATGAGCAGGAGCAGCTATTTTTATAGTGCATAAAATAGACTTTAAACCAAAAACTATAAAAAGGGACAAAGAAGGGCATTATATAATGATAAAGGGATCTGTCAAGCAAGAGGATATAACAACCATAAATATGTATGCATCCAACACTGGAGCACCCAGACACATAAGCAAACACTATTATACCTAAAGAGAAAGACAGACCCCTAACAAAATGATAGCTGGGGACCTAAACACCCCTCTCATCACTTTACAGATCATCTAGGCAACAAATCACAAGAAACACAGAATTCAAACTAAACTTTAGACCAATTGGATTAGACAGATATCTATACAAAATTTCATCCAACAAATACAAAATATACATTCTTCTCATCAGCACATGGAACATTCTCCAGGCTAGGCCACATATTAGGCAACAAATCAATCCTCAACAAATTTTAAAAAATGAAATCATTTCAAGTATCTTTTCAGATCACAATGGATTAAAATTAGAAATCAATAACAAGCAAAACTTTGGAAACTATACAAATACATGGAAACTAAAAAACATGCTCCTGGACGACCCATAGGTCAAAGAAGAAATTAAACAGGAAATCAAAAAATGCCTTTGAACTAATGAAAATAAAGAAACATCATACCAAAACTTATGGCATACTGCAAAAGCAGTACTAAAAGGGAAGTTTATTTCAAGAATGCTTACATCAAAAGAATGGAAATTTCAAACAAACAACCTGATGCTACACCTCAAAGAACTAGAAAGCAGGAACAATCCAACCCCAAAATTAGCAGGCAGAAAGAAATAATTAAGATCAGAGCAGAACTAAATGAAAAAAATACAAAAAAAAAAAAATGTTAAGTATAATAGGCCAGGCACAGAAAGAGAAATACTACATGTTCTCACTCATAAGTGGGAGCTAAAAAATAAATGAATAAATGAATAAGTAAATAGAAACAATCAAACAAAGAAACAAAAAAGAAACAGCAAACACAATAATACATTGAACTTTCAGAAGGAGGGAAGAGAACTGTAGTTATTAGAGAAGGGAAAGTGGGAGGTGGACAGGAGTTAGGGAAAAATTGGTTAAAGGGCCCAAAGAATGAGTACATTTTGGAGTGATGAATATGCCAACTATTCTGATTTGATCACCAGATATTATGTACAAATACTGATAGTCAACTCTGTACCCCCAAAATATGTATAATCATTTGTTTCAATACAAAAACAAAACCAGAAAAAAAATCAGAGAGAATAGTGAAAGCAGCAAGAAAGAAACCAGTTGTCACATTAAAAGCATACTCAAGAAGGTGATCAGCAGATTTCTCATTAGAAACTTTGGAGACCAGAAGGCAGTGGACTAATATATTCAAAGTACTTAAAGTATAAAACTGTTAAACAGGAGTCCTGTCTCTGGCAACACTTTCAAGAATACGACCCATAGGTCAAAGAAGAAATTAAACAGGAAATCAAAAAATGCCTTTGAACTAATGAAAATAAAGAAACATCATACCAAAACTTATGGCATACTGCAAAAGCAGTACTAAAAGGGAAGTTTATTTCAAGAATGCTTACATCAAAAGAATGGAAATTTCAAACAAACAACCTGATGCTACACCTCAAAGAACTAGAAAGCAGGAACAATCCAACCCCAAAATTAGCAGGCAGAAAGAAATAATTAAGATCAGAGCAGAACTAAATGAAAAAAATACAAAAAAAAAAAATATGTTAAGTATAATAGGCCAGGCACAGAAAGAGAAATACTACATGTTCTCACTCATAAGTGGGAGCTAAAAAATAAATGAATAAATGAATAAGTAAATAGAAACAATCAAACAAAGAAACAAAAAAGAAACAGCAAACACAATAATACATTGAACTTTCAGAAGGAGGGAA